TTGGCGACTCGTTGCCGCCTCTAGCTTGCACCACGTATACTGCACTACACAGCTTACACCACCTAGCTTGCACCACGTACGTAGTTTACACGTACACTGCGCAGCTAACATTTCTTTACATGGAATTTTCCACCCTCCTCCACCGCCTTTTTGGATAGCGCTTGGCTGGAAAGGCGCGTACGTGAATGCCGCCTTGCGTGAAGTCCAGATTTTCTTTCGGGCCTCGTCTTGCCCCCCCACCCCCCTCCATGCAAGCAGAAATGCCGGAGTCTTTCGCCGCACAAAAGCGAGTCAGGATGAAAAGCCAGTCTCAGGGAAGTGATCTAAACCTGCGGGGCTCCACGGTGTGAAATTGTCACGACGTCTGGCGTCTGGGGCGGACAGCAACGAGGGGGCAATCAACGTGGGATGATCGTGGATTGCAAGAAAGTTGCTCTAAATTCTAGGCCTCCCAGGTGGGGCCTGGAGAAGGTGTGGTCGCAGGATCGCGCCTCATCGCCGATGCATCGGCGATGCGGCTCGACGTGGAGCCCGATTTCATCCGCGCCAGCGTCGCAGATGCAACGCCGACGTCACCGATGCATCACAGATGCATCGTCGATACATCTACCCTCCGACCCTGCATCACAGATGCGGCGCTGTCCTCCGACCCTATCTATTTAGACCTCTTTTGGGAGGCCTCTATCAACGGCTCCCTCTAATCCACCGCGGGCCCAAACATTAGATGACAGGCGCCCGCTTCGTAACCCTCCGTCTAATTGCCCCTTCCCTCCCCTCTCCCCTCAGTGGCGAGCATCCGACAGCAGCTCCTGCCCATTTTGAGCAGGGCTCGCTGCCGGTGTTGCCAGGGACGGTGCTCATCTGTGGCAGAACGTCGCCTGTCCAACAGCCGCCGCTGTCGCTGGTTCTGGAGCATCTTGTTCCCTCTTACGTACCTGCCTCGGGCGTGCCGCGGCGTTCTCGGCTGCGTTCGGCCCAGATGGCCGTTTTGGGGCTCGGGGCCGTCACCACGCGCCTCGAGCCGAGAAAGGGATCCGTTGGGGACGGGTCTGACCAACCACGGCGGCCCAGGACGGAGTTGCCGCGGGCGGGGAGGGGTGGAAGGTTCCTCGGGACCTCCTCCGCCTCCTCCGCCTCCTCCGCCTCCTCCTCCCTCCTCCTCCTCTCCTCCTCTCCCTCCTCCTCCTCCTCCTCCTCCTCTTCCTCTTCCTCCTCCTCATCTTCCTCCTCCTCCTCCTGGTATAGGGCCTGGGGCCTGCGCCCCGGGGCGCTCCCTGGGGGCCGGCGCGTCGTCATCCCGGGCGGCTCTCTCCGGTGCGGTCCCGGGGGCTCGCGGGCGGAAGGGGCCCCCGGGAGGCCGAGCACGGCAGGGGGTGTGCGAGGGCCCGTGGCGTTCCAGGTGCCAGTGCAGTGGGGACCTTTGCCAAGCAGCGCCCTGCTTGCCTCCAGGGTGCCCTGGGTGTCCTGGGTTCCGATGTTTCTGCCGTGGGAGGCGCGGCGTTCCCACACCAGACATCCATGGGCGTCCTGGGGTCTCAGGGTTGGGTTGCTTGTGGAAGGCATCTTGTGGTCGGGCCCCTACCAGAACACATCTTGTTCCATGCCGGAGAGGACCTGCGACTCGAAAACGCACGCCCGAGTTTGGTCTCGAGTCTCGGTGCCTGGATATAGCCTGCGTGCAGGCCGAGATGGGTTCCGTCCTTCCTGCTGATGCTTCTTCTCTTCCTGCTTTTAGCGTCGACCCGCACAATAAGGATGAGCGACTTTCCAAGGTTGCCCTTGCGTCCTTCCCCTTCGGCCCATCCTTAGTTGCTTTCGCTGGCCGCGCCCCGGTCGCTGATTGTCGGCATGGCCTTCCAAGGCCATCGCATCGTTACCGTGCGTTCTTATTACACGGGCTGACCGTGGCTTCTCCTTCCCCCCATGCCCATCACCGAGCGCGTTCCAGTACTCGCAGAGTGCCCACTCGCAACCGTCCGGGAAATACATGACTGCCTCGATGCAAGGCTTCGTGCGTTTGCATACCCCGCGGCGGATCCAGGCCATTTGCGAGTACTTCTATTGCGAGTAGCGTTAAGGCGGGCGCGTCCTTCTACAGGTGGAATCTCCAACACGAAAAAAAAGTCTGGGGACGACTGTTTACCTATTTTGGGACTATGTTCGAGCACTTGTGGGGTTTTCTGGATTCTCGTTCGTCCAAACGCCGCCTGTAAAGGGGGACATGCCCGACCTAAGAGCAGTGGCACGCGCGCGCCCAGCCCAGCTGTGTACCCGGGCCCCGAGGCCCCGAGGAGGCGGCGGGACTCGGGCAGGACTCTTCTGTCGGAGGGTGCTGGGGCCGGCAGGGGAGAGCCCGGCGGGCTCGGAGGGTCGGTATCGTTTCACCGATCCCCATCCCCATCCCCATCCCCTTCAGAGACCCCCACCAGATTACCACCCCAAACGGGGATGCACCCCTCGAAGCCCGAAGGGAACGACCTATGTATCCCCATCCAGGGGGGTAACTAGGCCAGTGGGGCCCAGGCCACGCCGCTGGGGATGGGGATCGGTGAACGATGCGGAGCCCCGGAGGAGCTCTGCACGTCGGTACTTGCCAGCAGGCCGTTCTCAGGGGCAACGATGGGGGGGAATAGGCACAGGGTTAAGTCGGGCTTCTCGCTCTGCTGGAGGAGTGTTCAAGAGTAGTCAAAAAACAATATGGGGATTTTTTTTTATGTATTTATTGACTATGTACTATGTTTAAATATTTGTGGGGTATCTTATGATTTTGGGTCCAAAATCCGCCTGTAGGGGGACATTCCCGATCTAAGCATAGGGAGGGATGCATCGACCCCCAATCGCCCACTGTCGCCGATAGGGGCCCGATCGCCCCAACCTGCCCAGGAAGGTGCGGAGTCACTACTGGAGGCCTGTCGCCGATCTATCGGCGATGTGTCGCCGATTCCAGGTCGATGCACCCCCCCTATGCCAGTCCCCCTCATCGTTGGCCCTCAATTTCGGGGGTGGACAGAGCCCCCCCCCTGACACGTCGATTGGTGAATTGTCCGTTTTCAGTTCTCGAGAGGGCGCCGCGGCCGTCGTTTTCCAGGCGTGCGCCCGCCAGGTTTTGGCCCGAGGTTGTTTTCACTAAACTACGTTTTGCTAAGGGGGGTTATGTCCATTCCCGAGTATTTTTGGATTCCCAGATCCCCATCTACTTCAAGCGACCTTCCTACTTCAAGGAAGGATATGTTGGTTGCCTCGTGTTGTTATTCTCTGGGAGGGCCTGAATACAATATGCTTTATCCGCCTTCCTGTTTGATGTGTTTCTATGCCTACTTCTTCCGACCGAGGTGTACGCAGACATTTCAGGAGGTTCCTGTCATTGAACAGGAGCGAAAGAGGGACGTACACGTACATGAATCCACGCTGGTGTTGAACTTGCGCATTGTGCGAACGTTCGTATCACGAGTTTGGTCTCGCGGATTGGGGGGCCATATTCATGTACGTGGTTGGGCGCACATGTCCGTGCTGGGCCCCCTGCTCGAAAACGAAGAGTTGCATACACATAAACTGTTGGAGGTCCGCGCGGATTTCTTAGATCTGCGCTTGACCCCCCTCCCTGGCGTGCAGAGCGCGCACGGGGCGGCTCCGGGGGCCCCGCCAGGGGGCAGGGAGCCCCAGTAGCCGCAAGAAACCTTTCCTCCCTCTCTCTCACTCTCTCTCTCTCTCTCTCCCTGTCTGTCTGTCTGTCTGTCTGTCTTACTCTCTGTCTGTCTGTCTGTCTTTCTGTCGGTGTGTCTGTCTGTCTGTCTGTCTGTTTGTCTGTCTACCTGTATGTCTCGTCCCCCCGATCTTTCTCTCACTCTCTGTCGCTCTCTCTTTTGTGTTGTTATCTCTTTCTCTCTCTCTCTCTCTCTCTATCTACTTTTTTTTTTCTCTCTCTCTCTCTCTCTCTGCCACCGAATATTATTATATTACATCGACCGGTCAGAGAAATACGTCGTGCATGTCATGTTTTTCTGTTTTCGGTTCTGGTATCCCTTGGGGTTTCTCAGGTCACCTGCGCCCCTTTGACGGTTGGGAGCTGGCGATTGCTCGAATTTCATAACACGCCAGATGTGCAATTTGTGTACTCACGCTATGAGTACCTGTTGCAGTGCCGTCTTGGCACAAAACATCACACTATCAGAGGACACTGGGCGATTGACAAGCAAGACCATGTGGAGAAGCATGATTTCGGTGAATCTCCCGTTTGTTACGCGACGGGGGGGGCTATTGCATTTGTTGCTCAGCTTAGGGATGGCGTTTGGTATGCACCTTGACATGTTCGCTCTAAACTCCCAGCAGGGGTGCACGAGGAGGAGGGTCACGGTCGGGAGTGTGTGTGTGTGTGTGTGTGTTGAGAGCGTCGCGCCGCTTGTTCTGGCCCATGGCGTCTCGGCGGGACACACCAACCACGTCGTCGCTCTCCGAGCGCAAGCGTCCCAGGCGCAGCGACACGCCGTCCGCTTCCAGAGCACAGCGTGTCGGCGGGGCCGCCGCCGCGACGCGCTGAGTGGAAATATTCCTGATCGCAGGTGTGCGAAGAGAAGGAAGAATCGGGGACATGTGAGACGCGAGTTCGACAGAGCTCGGGCTTGCCGAACGCCTCTTGAGGAGCCCTTCCTGGATTCTGACGGTCCAGTTTCCGTGGGACGTGTGCAGCGGGGTTGGCGTCAAGTTTCAGGTTGGGCCTCGTCATCTTCCTGTCTGCCCCGTCGGGCCAACCCGAGTCCCCCGCACTCGAGTCTTACGTCTCCCCGAAAGGAGCTGGGCATCGCTCAGACGTGCGCTTCTTGTTCTAGGCGAGGACCATCGAGCAGAATGTTGGGGCCATCTTGCGAAGGATACACGCGCGAAACCGAAACATGCACGGGGAATGGGCGTCCGAGCGATGGCGAGGAAGAGGACGTCCGCGACGCATTTGGTGTCGAGCCTCCCGTGCCCAGCGGCCATGGCAGCGCCAGAGCACCTGGCTCATGGCGGCGGGGCTCCCGGCGGTGCTGCTGCTGACCCTCTGGCCGAGTAGGACTCGCGCTGCGTGCAGGGACCACACCACCTGCACCGCCTGCATCGCCGACGCCTGGGGTGACTTCAGCTGCCTGTGGTGCGAGGAGGGCGCAGAACTCTACCCGCACACTCGGCTGAGGCTAAGTCCACACGGAGTGTTTCCAGACGGAGCGCTCGGTCTCCGTCTGGACTTCCGCCGTCTGGGCTCGGCGCCTCTCCCAAGACATGCTCGCGTAGTGAGCAGCTTTGGCAGTTCTCTGCCTCTGAGGGCCTTCGCTAGGCCCCGGGGCAGTCAAGAAACAATTCGGGATGAAGCACTGGCTTTGGGCCAGGGTGGGGATTTCGGGGGATTTCGGAGGACTCCGACCAAATCAAGACATTGGTCTGCGATTGGACGAGGGCGCAGCGCTCTGCAGCAGAAGCGATGTGCCCTCCAGCCTGACCCCGAGGAAGCAGAAACCATAGGAGTCTGAGCTGCCAGAGCTCCGCACGGACGTCTTGGAGCTGCGCTGCCCCCCCCCCCCCCCGGGCAGCGCTTCCAGCGCCTCCCTTGGGCGCGCTCCGCGCGCCAGGCAGGGGGGGGGGGGGTCCAACGCCGATCCAAGGAATCCGCGCGGAGCACCGGAAGAAATCGGTAGCCCGATGGCAGGTCTGATGCCCGGGCAACAAACTGTATATATTCCTCTTCCTATATTTGTATAAGCCCGGGCGGGGGGAAAACCCGTCACCCCCCCCCCAAAACCGGACTCCCGGGATCTGGGGCTTTGGGACCCTCCAGACGGGCCTCGAAGCGGCCACCGGGCCTCACATGGCGTTTTGCCAAGCCTTCCCAGCACACCTAGGGCGATCAGGGGAGTCATCGGAGACGTCCCAGAGACCCCCAAAACAGCACAAGAGCGCTCCAAGAGTGACCGACGTGACCTCAAGATGGCCAACGAGGCCTCCAGGACGGCCACAAAGAGGCCTACAAGAGCACTCCCAAGAAGGCCCCCCGAGGAAAAAGTCATTGATTTTCTGTTGGCTTTTGGTGATTTTTAGGGTTCTCCTCTTTTCGGCTTCCCGACGCTCCAAGACGGCGGTCTTCTGGGCTTCCGAAGCCGCCTGGGAGGCTCCAAAATCGCACCACAACCATCCAAAAGGGCTTCCAGGCAGTCCAAGAGAGCCCCAAAACGGCACAACACGGGTCCAAGATGGCTCTCAGAGAGCCCCAGGCGGCCCAAGATGGCCCAAAGACACCCTCCGAAGAATTCCAAATCGTGATTCGGTCGTTCAGGGAGACCGCGGTTGGAGACAGGGTGGCCCGAGGAAGCCCCCGGAGGCCCCCAGAATACGCCCAGGAGGTCTCCAGAAAGCCTTAAGCCCGAAACAACTTTTGTGAGGCCCCTAGAGGCTCTCCAAGGAGGAGCCTCCGCAAAAAAGAGCTGAGGAGGATGGGGAGAATGCGCAGGGCATGGCGAAAATAAGGAAAAATATGCATGGAGGAAGGATAACGAATAACATTATTGTAGCGGCGATGCCAGAAAAGGCAACCAGGAGTTATCGCTAAATTGTCGGCTTCACCTTCCTGCTAGTCCGCCTGCACACCAAGCTTCAAGGACCAAGGTGCATGGCGCGAAGCGCCACTGCAGTCTTGTGTGTATATATATAGATATATCTATATCATCGCGCCTCGCGCGTCGCGGCCTGGGCCGGACAGCCGCCGTTCCCCTGGGAGGGCTCGCGCACCCCCTCGCTTGGCATCGCTCGGACGTGTGCATATTTCCTTCTGCGAGGACCATCGAGGAGCTTCCTTGATCATTTGGCGGAAAAACCACGCACGAAACCGAAGAAAAACAGGGAATGGACGTCCGAGCGATGGCCAGCTCGGGGCGCGCTGCGCGGAGTTTTGGGAGGCCCGAAGAGTGGGAGCGTCGCGAGCTTAAGACGGACCTCCGGACGGGCGTCTCCGTTCGCGCTCTCGGCGCCCCGCTGTGGGTCCGTCCCTGGGAGCGGGTCGACATTCCTGGGGCCCGCGGACGAGGAGGAGGAGGAGGAGGAGGAGGAGGAGGAGGAGGAGGGGGAGGGGGAGGAGAAGGAAGAAGACTAGGAGGAAGGGGAGAAAAGTAGGAAGAAGACTAGGAAGAAGACCAGGAAGAAGACTAGGAGGAGGAGGAGGAAGAAGACTAGGAAGAAGACTAGGAGGAAGTAGGGGAGGAGGAGGAGGAGGAGGAGAAATGATGTATCCCCGCTGCGTGAAACGCCCCGGTGAAAAGTCCACACCAGGCCGGCCAAGGGATGGCGGTGCCAAGGGGGAAGTGGGCCCCGAGCGTAGGGACCTGCCACGGGATGCGGCGAGGACGGTGGTCCAGACCGCTCTCATCGGGGGCTGCCAGAGGGGTTCCTGGCCTGAGCTCGGTATCGCTTGGACGTGTGCACTCGGTCCTTGGCGAGGGCCATCGAGGAGCATCCTGGATCATCGAGCAGCAAAAACACGCACGAAATCGAACAATCCACGGGGAATGGGGGTCCCCAGCTTGTCTTCAGCTTGTCGCGCCACTTTGGAGATTCCATGGGGCCCTCTCAGCCTGGAGTCCAAGAGTGAAGGGATGAGGCTCCCACTTGGCGCCGGCAAAGCGCCTGTGGGGCAACACTGGTTCCGGCCGTCATGCACGGTGCGGGCCTCCCGACTGGGGTCCGAGCAGATGGAGTTGGAGGAACACGCCGCATCGCAAAAGCATCGGCGATGTGGCTCCAATGTGGGTGCAAATTGTCCCCACGCCGATGCATGGCCGACGTCGCTGATGCATCGCCGACGTATCGGCGATGCAATGCGGGGCGATCCTCCGACCCCATTTACTCGGTTTCCATCTGGGATGCCAAAGCAGGCAGCCAGCCAATTTCACAGAAGCTGTTTCGTCAGCAATTGCTTGCGCACTGCAGGGTGGTGAGAGCCTCCGAAAACAACGTGCTGAAGTGTCGACCATGTTGTTCTGGGACTCGTTCCAATCAGATGTAAATGAGTGAGGCAAGTAGGCCGCCCCAGAAACGAATGGCCCGGGCAAGTAAAAAAGTAATGAGCGAATGTACTGGCATCCATTCAGGATTACAGTGGTTGGGCGAGACGCGTTTTCCGGCGTACGACTTGCGAAGCGATGCGATGAATGTGGGAGGTCTCTAAAAGAGCAGGGAACCCGCTGTCCCTTGTCCCCTCTGGGCCGTCTTCTCAGAATTGGCGCTGCATGCCGAATGTGCCCTCAAACGATTCTGTTGGTGCCTATCTAACTCCAGTCCCCGACGACTTGATATTGTCGAGTCTCCTGGGCCCCAGTCGTCTTTACGCGCTGGTCGTTGGAAGTCGGTGTTTTGGGACTCCCAGTTCCCAGTCTGCTTCAAGCGCCTTCCGATTTCAAGATCCGATATGTTCTTGTTGTTTGTTGCTACTCCTTGGGCAGGCCCCATCCCACTCTACTTCTCTGGCCTTCCTACTTCATGTTTCTACCTTCTTCTTCCGACTGGCGGGGGTACACCTTCCTTGGGGCCAAATGCGCGAGTTCATTCGGTTCTCTGGAGTCTCTGGAGGTCGGGGAGGATGGAGGAGGAGGAGGAGGAGGAGGAGGAGGAGGAGGTGGAGGAGGAGGAGGAGGAGGAGGAGAGGGAGGGAGGGAGGGAGGGAGGGAGGGAGGGAGGGTGGGAGGGAGGAAGGGAGGGAGGGAGGGAGGGAGGGAGAGAGAGGAACATGAGAATAATTATAAGAAGAAGGAGGGGGAGAGCGAGGAAGGAGGGAGAAGAAGGAGAATGAGGAGGAGAGTCCCTCCGTGCAGGTACGTGGGCCCCTACTCGACCTACGGCACGTGCCTCACGGGGCAGGTGGGCGCCAGCCCCGCGCCCCCCGACACCGGCGACGCCAGGGCCGGCTCCTTCTCCGTCTGGACGGGCCACCAGGAGCAGCGGGGGGCCTCTGGACACAGGGGGGGGTGAGGGCTGCGGGGTGCGCGGCATATCGGGGCGCGGTCTCTAGCCTCCGGGTGCCCTCCAGCAGCTGCGCCTCGCCGACGGCTTTTTGGGGGGGGGGCCCAGATCGTCTCGAGCGGACGCCAGAGGTCCGAGCCAAGACCCGACGGCCACCGGGCAACGGGCCAGGGGGATCGGCGAACATGCAAGGTGCATGACCATAAACTGTCGGAGCTCCGCGCGGACCTTCGAAAGTATATGTCTGTGCAGTTGCTTGTTCTTGCTCGACAGCAGTTCCTGCCGAGCCTGAGCGGGACTCGTTGCTGGTGTGGCTCTGTGCACTGTCCTTTCGATGCACGGGATCGCCTGCCCAACAGTGGCCGCTGTCGCTTTGGTACAACAGGCGCAGTTGGTCATTGACCCCATGTTCGTCCGTGCCCGTTTCGGGCGTGCAAAGGGTTTCCATTCTCCTCCAGTCGTACACGTTGTACGACGTTGACGAGTTCTCCGAAGGCAGTTGCTCCATCAGGACCGGGGAGAGGGATACGCAGGAAATTGTGCAGAATGTCTTGATGATGGCGTTGACGACGGTGATGATGACGATGGTGGTTCTGATGATGATAGCCGTGCAGGTGATAATAGCGAGTGTGGTGGTGGTGATGACGATGACGAGGATGACGGTTACAGTGATGATGAGGATGACGATGACGATGACGATGACGATGAAGATGATGATGATGATGATGGTGATGATGATGATGATGATGCTGATGATGATGATGATGATGATGATGTTGATGATGAGTATGATGATGATGATGATGATGAGAATGATGTAGATGCTGATTGTGATGGTGGTGGTGGTGATGGTGATGGTAATTACGACGGTGATGGTTGTGGTGGTGATGATGATGCTGGTGATGACGGTGATGCTGATGATATTGGTGCTGATGATGCTGCTGATGGTGATGCGTCGGATGAAGATGAAGATGAGTATGATAATGCTGATGATGGCGTTGATGATGGGTGTGCTGATGATTGTGATGATAATAATGATGATGCTGCTGCTGGTTGTGATGATGGTTGTGACTGGCGTTGATGTTGTTGAGGTTGATGCTGTTGACGATGAAAACGGTAGAGGCTATGGTGGTGAGTGTGATGATGGTGGCGATGATGATCACGACGTTGACGACGATGATGATGCTGCTAGCAGTAGTGGCGATGATGGTGATCGCGATCACCGTCATCACGTGATGACGACGGCTCCGGTGGCAGATGCCCGGCGGCAGGCAGCTCGGTGGCCTGTCATCTGTCCACGGGCTGGAGGTGGACGTCCCCTGGCGAGATCAGAGGGGAGAGCAGCAGGAGGGGAGAGGGCAAGGGCGAGGGAGCAGCACGAAGAGGGAGAGGAGGGAGAGGCGGCAGCTCGTTGGGCTGACACGGTCCGACCGCGTCGTCGGCCGTGCTGCGCGAACACAGCGGCGCAGCTGGCCCTGCACTGCGGCCGAGCTGCTTCTGTCAGGAGGGGAAGAACACACAGACACAATCAATCGTCGACCCCCAGGAAAATATTGAAACATATAAGAATTGGGGGGAAGACAAACCCAGAAACTATAGGAAAATATTGGGAATCCTGTTATTTTTGTGTATTTAGTTGTGTGTCCCAAGGCCCCTTCATTCTGGCGGGGTTTCGCAGACCCCATCCTTTCTCGTTGCGAGGCTTTACGCTTAAGTCGGGCCTGTCCCTCTACAAGAAGGGGTATTCAAAAATAGTCAAAAAAAAACAGTCTGGGGACGATTTAGCTGGTACTATGTTTGGGTATTTCTGGAGTTTTTGAGGTATTCCAAATTGTTGACGCTTCGCGAATACCCACCAGCCCATCCAGAAACGATGCCCAGAGGAATTGCCTTGATCAGGGAAGTGGTCAGCACACAGAGGAAGCCATTATGAGGCATCTTGGGATATCTTGAGCCATCTTGGAGGTAATTTTGGGCTCTCCCAGGCGCTCTTGGAGTCATCTTAACCAGTGCCCCCCCATGAGGCCAACATGTGGCTAAAACCTTCGTAAAACAAATGCTTTGGCATTCTCGCCGAGGCCTCTTGGAGCATCTTGGGTGCCTCTGGGGGGTCTCTTGGGGCCTCTTGGGGGTCTCTTGGGGGCCTCCTGGGGGCCTCTTGGGGGCCTCTTGGAGCCATCTTAGGGCCATCTTGGGACCTCTGGGGGCCTCCTGGGCGCTTCTTGGGGCCATCTTGGAGCAGATCGATCAAACACGAGGGGAGCTTTAATTAGGGCCCCCCCCTCAGGAGGCCAAAATGGGGCCAAAACCATAGCAAAACCAATGATTTTGGCTTCCTCGCCGAGGCCGTTTTGGACGCTCCGACAACTCGCGAAACCCCTTGTCCAGGTCCACGGGGAGGGGGTAGGGGGAGCGGTAAACCACTCCCCGAAGGGGAAGAAGGAGGGGTGGAAGAGGAAACTCCCTAAACCACCGACGCCCAGAGGGCTGGTGGGATTTGTCGACCAGAATCCCCTTGTAGGGGGACAGGCCCGACCCGACCTTACGCCAAGGAAGCGAAAACATGGTTCGAGGCGCGTGGAGTTGCGACGGCGCCCGGTCCCATGCACAATCGGCGCGCTCCGTCGCCAAGTCGGGCGGCACGCCTCCAGGTTCGGGGCGGGGGGGGGTTACTTTTCAGTCAGGCACGTCCCTCTACAGGAGGAATATTCAAAAACATTTAAAACATAGTCTGAGAACGATGTTTTTGTCATGTTTGATTATGTTTGTGCATGTTTTGAATAGTTTCATTTTTCGTCCAAAGTCCGCCTAGAGGTGACACGCCCGACCTAAGGGTACTTCCCCGTTCAAGGGGCCTGCCGTCCACGCGCCAGATCCACTGGATTCGGATCCATGTTAGAGTGTGCCCACGTATTGGTCCTCGCTCCTCCCTCCCGCTTCCTCCTCTTCCTCTCCTCCGTCCCTCCCTCCTCCCGTCCTCCTCTTCGTCCTCCCTCTTTCCCTCCTCCCTCCCTCCTCCCTCTCTCCTGCCTCCCTCCCTCCTCCATCTTCCTCTTCTCCCTCCCTCCCTCCCGTCCGAGGCGGGGATGTGTCCAGAACCACCGCCCAGAGGATCGGTCTCCAGGGACCTCGGCAGGCGGCGGAGTCGGGTGTGCTCTCGGGCACCCTTGGGGCCCAGATGTGTCGCTGTCCACGGCCCGCTGGGGTCCGAGGACGTCGGTTCCCAGGCGTTGGATACGGACTGGCCACGCGCAGAGGGAGGTCTTAGAAGCCCCCCTGCGGAGCCTCGCTTCCCCTCCTCGTCCTCCCGCCCCCTCGGGGTGAAGCCAGCCAGCTGCACAGCATCGCCAAAAGGGGCTCCTGCACTGGCTTCGGGGAGAGAAGGGGGGGGGAGAAGCTGCCGCCGGCAGCCGTTCCCTTCGGGAGCGGGGCGAAGGGGTCGACTACACAAAAGAGTGACCTTTCGCCGGAGTGACCTTTGGTGCGGGCTTTTCGGAGTCCCTCCGATCAGTGAGTTTGCTGCGTCAGCGGCTGCTTGTGCGCTTGGATTCGGCAGGTTTGCGCCCCCTTAGTCCGCACACCAAAGGTCAATCTTGCCCAGGGTCACTCTTGCGTGTAGCCGAAGGGGGAGCAGGCGATGAGGGAGCGCAGCGATGGGGGATGGTGGAAGGCGTCTCAGAAGCACCCCTGCGTCTTAGAAGGCGCGGCCCTCATTTACAGATGCAAGGCTGGCGCCTTCCAAGAAGCGGCCTCCTTCTCCAAGAAGCCTTCCCCCCCTCCCCCCTGGTTACCCCTTGTGCGCGCCGCCCATCTGCCACCTCACCCCCCTCTGCAGCCCAGACGCTGGAACCAGGACCACCCTGGGCTCAGGAAGGGCCTCGCTCGGATCTGCCTCCTCCTCCGCCTCCTCCTCCTCCTCCTCCGCCTCCTCCTCCTCCTCCTCCTCGGGCCCTCCGGGCCCTTGCTCGGATCTGCCTCGGAGAGCTCGCTGGTGGCCGGGGCGCGCCGCGGCCAGGACGGCCAGCGAGCCCGACCGTTGGCCAGGCTCCGAGGGGTCGCGCAGCGGCGTTTGCGCGGGTGCCGAGTGCAGCACTGCTTCGGCAGGGTCGCCCGCGTGGCCCCGAAGCTCGGTGGGAGCGCGGTGATCTATGCCCAGACCCCCTCGAGTCATGAAAAACTCACGACGGGAGGTTTTTCGCTATTTTCGGCCTCCGGGGGCCCTTACCGGCCCTCAGGACCGTCAAAAAACGACTCAGGATGAAAAACCGGTCCCGGGGAATCGGTCCGACCTCTGGGGGTCGCGTCATGACAAAATCATGACGTCGGGGGGTCTGGGTCGAGTGGAGCCGGTAGCCCGGATGATCACGGACGGCCGCCACAGATCAGAGCCAGACGTGGTCGACAGCAGGGAGGAGGCCCAGACCCCCGACGTCATGATTTTTTCATGACGCGACCCCCAGAGGTCCAGACACATTCCCCGGGACCGGTTTTTCATCCCGAGTCGTTTTTTCACGGTCCTGAGGGCCGGTAAGGGCCCCCGGAGGCCGAAAATAGCGAAAAACTTCCCGTCGTGAGTTTTTCATGACTCGAGGGGGTCTGGGCCTGCGGGTAACCCTGCTGCACGCCCACGACTCCCAGACTGGTCGAGGTTGCTGTGGTTCTGCGACTCTGCCTCGGGCCGGCCCCGCGGGGCCCCCAATGGGTGCCTCCGGGGCCTGCCGCGCAGAGCTCCAGGAGGGGCTCCTGGGGCGGCAGAGGTTCCGCTCCTGCTCCCCCTCCTGCTCGTCCGCCCTGCTCCTCCTCCTCCTCCTCCTCCTCCTCCTCCTGCTCCTCCTCCTCCTCGTCCTTCTCCTCCTCGTCCTCCTCCTCCTCCTCCTCCTCCTGCTCCTCCTCCTCCTCCTGCTCCTCCTCATCCTCCTCCTCTTCCTCCTCCTCGTCCTTCTCCTCCTCCTCTCCTCCTCCTCTCGTCCTTCTCCTCCTGGTCCTTCTCCTCCTCATCCTCGTCCTCCTCCTCCTCCTCCTCTTCCTCCTCCTCCTCTTCTTCCTCTTCCTCCTCCTCCTCCTCCTTCATCCCGCTCCCTCGCGCGGGTTCGCTTCTCTGTTCAACATCCTGGCGGGAGCTGTTCCTGCTCCCTCTCCTTCTGCCGCTGCTGCTCCCCCTCACCCTTCTTCGGATGCAGCTCCTGGGAGGTCAAGTTCTGATTAAGCCTTGGTCCGAAATCACGCTTAATCTGGCTTGGCTTCATCCCGCTTAATCTGGCTCAGTCCCGTTCAATCCCGCTTGGTCCGAGGCCCACTGGCGTAACAGCCCCCCAATGGGGCTTAATCCTCCTTAGTCCTTCCGACGAAAACCTCCCTGTAGTTGCCTCCAAACCGTTCATCCAGCTCCCTCGCGCGGGTCCGCTTCCCTGTTCGACATCCTGGCGGGACCGCGGTGATCTCGCGCGCCCCGTGAACACCTCGCCGCTGACGGGCCCCGCGAGCTGAGAGCTGGCCGCGCGAGGCTCGACCGGCCGACCAGGCTCTCCTCCGCACGCGGACGTGTTTGGTCCCTTTACACCTGCGGCGACTTGCACAGATAAAACGACGCGAAGATCGGGACAAAATCGGATCGGGATAACTCGAAATCTCTGAGAATCGGCGGGCTTGGAGGATGTACTGGGCGCCGCGGCCGCTCCAGAGCGTTCCGGAACGCTCTGAGAGCGCTCCCGAACGCTCTGGAGCGATCTATCCCGATCCTGGCCCTGTTTTGACAGGAGGAGGAGGAGGAGGAGGAGGAGGAGGAGGAGGAAGAGGAGGAGGAGGAAGAGGAGGAGTAGGAGGAGGAGGAGCAGGAGGAGGAGGAGGAGGAGGAGGAGGAGGAGGAGCTGCGGCGACTTGTACACAAGGGGAAAAGTAATCTTGCCGTGCAGAAATCAGGACGGGAGGTTTTTGCCAGCGTGCGGCCTCGGGGGCCTCTCGCGGGGCCCTCGGGGCCAATCTCCTTGCCCCACTGCCGCCGACGTGTTCTCTCTCCGCAGGCGGGGAGATGAGGAGTTGTGTGGGCTCGCACCCCGGCTGGGCTGCCCCCATGCTCCGAGGCGGGAATGTATCCATATCCACCGCCTGGAGGGTCAGTTTTCGTAGCCTCGGCAGGCGGTGGATATGGACATACTCGGGCCCCTGGGGGCCGAAATATATCCATCTCCGCTGCCCGCTGGGGCACCAGGACGTCGGTTCCCAGGCGGTAGATATGGATAAATCCCTGCCTCGCACCATGCGGTCAGGAATTGTTGTTTCTCGTGCGGCGTCGCGGGTTCTGGCTTCGGCACGCCGTGCTAGCCGGCTCCCAGTCCCCGAGCGTCAACGTCCCGCGGTTGGTGCCCGGTGCCTCGACACGCGGAGCGGATGAGGCGCGCTGCTGGTTAGCAGGGCGCACAGGCAGTGTACGTCGCCAAGGCGGGCGCCGCGACACGCGAAGCAAACATTGTCCCGACCGCAGAAGTAGGACGAAGAGAAGGAGAAGGAGGAGGAGGAGGAGGAGGACGAGGAGATGAGGAGGAGAAGGAGGAGGAGATGAGGAGGAGGAGGAGGAGGAGGAGGAGGAGGAGGAGATGATGATGAGGAGGAGGAGGAGAGGAGGAGGAGGAGGAGAAGGAGGAGGAGGAGGAGGACGAGGAGGAGATGAGGAGGAGGAGGGAGGGAGGGAGGGAGGAGGAGGAGGAGGAGGAGGAGGTGGAGGAGGGGGAGGAGGAGGAGAGCAGGAAGGAGGAGGAGGAGGAGGAGGAGCAGGAGGAGGAGGAGGAGGAGGAGGAGATGAGGAGGTCTGTGTGTTCACCTTGCCTGTCCTCACACATCCGTGGTCAACGGGTGGGCCCCTCGATTGATTACGCTACAGGTGTTCCTTTTCCTCGATGCGGCTTCGAGTGCGCATTCGGCTCCACGACACCGTGCCCCAGGTACCCCAGCCAAAATTTCCGAAGCCGCGCGAGGGCCCAGGCTCGGTACCGCGACGATCGCTCGCCTCTGAGGGCCAGCTGCAGCTTAGGTCCTATGCGTAATATCTTGTCGACACTGGGCCTAGGCTGGACTGCACCGCCTTGGGCGCCTCACTGAGGCCGAACAGCACACCCTGCCACATTGTCACGGTGCTCTTGGGGGGAGGGGGGACAATCAAGCAAACACGAGGAGGAAGAGGCGGAGCAGACAGAGGGGGAAGGAGGAGATCAGGCGCTGGGAGGTCAGGCATGGAAGGACGTAGGGAGGGAGGGGGCGGCACGAGGAGGAGGGCAGGAGGAATTGTATGACGAGGACCCCCCCCCTTGCCCGACGGCGGCCGCGGCGGCGAGGACTGGCGAGCTGGAGCCCGAGTGCGGGCCGGGCACGGCGGTCGTCAGCAACACGCCCTACTACGGCACTGGCACCTCCTACCCGGAGCTCGCGTGGGTCACCGCTCAACAGGCCTTGGAAGCGGCAGGCAGTTGTTGCTACAGGTTCCGTTGTTGCTTCCGGCTCCGTCGCCATTGTCTGTTCCGGTTCCGTCGTCGCTGTTATTTCCGGTTTTGGTGTCGGTTCCGATTCTGGCGCCGTTTTAGTTTCGTTTCGTCGGTCATTGTTCGTGTTTCGGGGGGATTTTGTGTGTGTGTGTGTGTGTCTGTTACATAGGTGTTTTTTTGTCCGTGTGCCTGACGCGGTTTCGTCGGGGATTCCACGCGGATTCGAGTTTCGACAAGTTTTCGAGGTGGAATCGACGCGCATTCGACGTTACCTGGTTTGGACGCGGATCCGACGAGCATGAGGCGCGATTAGACAGACAGGGTCCCCCAAGTATGCGACGGAAGGTAGGGAAGCCGACGACGACTGTGTTTGTCTGGCCTTCTGACCGCCACGGCTGGATTGGCTTCGACAGCGTGGTCGGAACAGGCCCCCAGACCATACTCTGGGGGTGATTCTGAGCAGCGAAGAGACGAGGTGCCCTCAAACGTCTGGGCGTCGCGAGAGAGTCGCGAGCGGAGCGCTGGGTGTCTGGCGGCGGGGAGCCGCTTCGCTTCTCTGACACGACGGCAGGCCTGCTCTGCCCCGTCTTGCGGCCCGGGACCCGCAGGGCGCGGTCCGGCGTCTCCCGAGCTGCCGCAGAGAGGCGGGGCCGACAGCTCTGGCCCTTCCAGCCGGCACGAGGGCTATAAGAGCCCTCCCGCGCTCGTCCTGTCTGCGCGGTCCGCCCAGGAGCGCTCCTCGTTCGGGAGGAAGAGAAACACACAGACACAATTAACCCTCGATTCCCCAGAAAATAATCGAACATATGGGAAGTGGGGGGGAAGACAGAAACACCAAAAATATGGGAAAATATGGTGAATCTTTTTTTTTTTTGTGTATTTATTTGTGTGTCCCAGGGCCCCTTCACTCGTTCTGGCCATCTCCATGAGGCCTCGGGCCCTCCGGCGGTAGGGAGCTCGTGTGTTTGACCCACGTTTTTGTGACCCCGATATCGGTCGTATGCCCTAAGGCGGACGGCTGGTTTTTTCTCCGGAGACAGTTCTCGGGACTTCCCCGCAGTCCTCCGTCCCTCTGGTTCTGATGATGCCGATGATGGTGATGTTGAAACGATGTTGGTGATGCTGCTGATGAGGATGCTGATGCTACCGATGATGATGATGATGATGATGATGATGATGATGATGATGATGATGATGATGATGATGATGATGATGATGATGGTGATGGTGATGGTGATGGTGATGATGATGATGAGGATGAGGATGATGATGATGATGATGCTGATGATGATGATGATGCTGATGCTGATGCTGATGCTGATGCTGATGCTGATGCTGATGCTGATGCTGATGCTGATGTTGATGATGATGAGTGTGATGACGACGACGATAACGAATCCTACGAAGATGCTGATGCTGCTGATGACGACGCTGATGATGATGGTGATGATGATGCTGATGGTGATGATAATGATAGTGATATTGATGATGAAGACGAGGACGAGGACGAGGACGAAGAGGAGGGGGAGGAGGAGGAGGAGGAGGAGGAGGAGCTGGGGTAGGTAGAGGAGGAGGAGGAGGAGGAGGAGGAGGAGAAGGAGGAGGAGGAGTTGGAGGAGGAGAATAGGGTTGAGGAGTCGGAGGATGAGGAGGAGAAGGAGGAGGAGTTGGAGGAGGGGGTCGTGGTGCTCTTCTCGGCTCCCGTGAGGTGGACGCTGAAACCGACACATGTGACCCCTCGCCCGTTTCAGGTCAGACGAAGACGGTGATGATGATGATGACGATGATGATGATGATGATGAGGAGGAGGAGGAGGAGGAGGAGGAGGATCAGGATCAGGATCAGGATCAGGCTCAGGATCAGGATGAGGATGAGGATGATGATGATGATGATGATGATGATGATGATGATGATGATGATGATGATGATGATGCTGATGCTGATGATGAGGAGGAGGAGGAGGAGGAGGGGGAGAATGAGGAAGAATAGTGCTGAGGAGGGGGTAGAGACCATCACAAGTGTCACCTTTCGTCTTCACTTCTCGAGAGGCCCTCATGGACCTCATGGTGGGCAGCTGGGGGATGCCCTGGGCTCCTGTGGGGCACTCTTGGGGTCCAGTGGGGCTAGTTCTTCGACCGTCTTGGAACCCTCTGCGGCCGTCCTGGGGCCCAATTGGGGCTCTCGTGGCCGTCTGGGGGGTCTCTTTGCGGCGGTCGTGCCTCGGGCCGCCCATGGGGTCGTCCATGGGGTCGCCTCGCGGCCACAGTCAACCGTCTTTGGAGGAGGAGGAAGAGGAGGAGGAGGAGGAGGAGGAGGAGGAAGAGGCGGAGGAGGAGGAGGAGGAGGGGGAGGAGGAGGAGAAGAAGGAGGAGGAGCAGGAGGAGGAGGAGGAAAATGAGGAGGAGCAGGAAGAGAAGGAGGAGGAAGGAGGAGGAGGAGCAGGAGGAGGAGCAGGAGGAGGAGGAGGAGGAGGAGGAGGACGACGACCCCCCCCCCCCTGGGCCAGCGTTGGGCTTTCTCTTGGGGCCGCCGCGGGGCCCTTCTGGAAGAGGCCCGCTCGGCAGTTCCTTGGCTCCGTTGGGCCGTCTTTGGCACAGCTTTGAGACTGCCTTGGCCCTTCGTATTGTGTCGGGCATGTCCTCCTACATGAGGAATTCTGAAAAGGAGGAATTCCCAGAAGTAGCAAAAACATAGTATGGAGAGTTGTCGTTTGGGGTATTCTTGGTTACTTTGGTGTACTGCTTGTTCCCCACATGCTTCGTGGGGTTATGTTTTTTCCTTGCCGCGCCGCACCCGCGACACTCACACCTCACCTCTCTCTCCTTCTCACACAGCGCAGCACAGCACAGCACAGCATAGCACAGCTCAACGCAGCACAGCACAGCACAGCACAGCACAGCACAGCACAGCACAGCACAGCACAGCTCAACGCAGCACAGCACAGCACAGCACAGCACAGCGCAGCACACCACAGCACAGCACATCTCAGCACAGTTCAGCTCAGCTCGGCACCGCACAGCACACCACAGCTCAGCTCAGCACAGCATAGCACATAGGGCAGGCGCGCAGGGCACGGCACGGCAGAGCGTGACAGGGGTGCTATTTTCTCGACACCAGCGAGGGTGCGCAGGGGGTGGTCCCTCAGCGCGGTCTCTATGCGTGCCAGGGTCGGAGAGCGTGGCAGGGGTGGCACTTTCTCGACACCAGAGAGGGCGCACATCCTCGACACCACAGGGGGCGCGTTGGGGGTGGGGTCGCTATCCGTTTCGGGCTCGCAAAGCGTGGCAGGCGTGGCACATCCTCGACACCACAGGGGGCGCGCTGGGGGTGGGGCCGCTATCCGTTTCGGGCTTGCAAAGCGTAGCAGGCGTGGCACATCCTCGACACCACAGGGGGCGCGCTCGGGGTGGGGTCGTTATCCGTTTCGGGCCCGCAAAGCGTGGCAGGCGTGGCACATCCTCGACACCACAGAGGGCGCGCTGGGGGTGGTCGCTATCCGTTTCGGGCTCGCGAAGCGTGGCAGGCGTGGCACATCCTCGACACCACAGGGGGGGCGCGCTGGGGGTGGGGTCGCTATCCGTTTCGGGCTCGCAAGGCGTGGCAGGCGTGGCACATCCTCGACACCACTGGGGGCGCGCTGGGGGTGGGGTCGCTCTCCGTTTCGGGCTCGCAAAGCGTGGCAGGCGTGGCACATCCTCGAATCCACATGGGGCGCGCTGGCGGTAAGGTCGCTCTCCGTTTCGGGCTCGCAAAGCGTGGCAGGCGTGGCACATCCTCGACACCACAGGGGGCGCGCTGTGGGTGCGGTCGCTATCCGTTTCGAGCTCGCAAAGCGTGGCAGGCGTGGCACATCCTCGACACCGCAGGGGGCGCGCTGGCGGTGGGGTCGTTATCCGTTTCGGGCCCGCAAAGCGCGGCAGGCGTGGCACATCCTCGACACCACAGGGGGGCGCGCTGGCGGTGGGGTCGCCGTTTCGGGCTCGCGAAGCGTGGCAGGCGTGGCACATCCTCGACACCACAGAGGGCGCGCTGGGGGTGGTCGCTATCCGTTTCGGGCTCGCAAAGCGTGGCAGGCGTGGCACATCCTCGACACCACAGGGGGCGCGCTGGGGGTGGGGCCGCTATCCGCTTCGGGCTTGCAAAGCGTGGCAGGCGTGGCAATGTCTCGACACCAGAGGCCTGCGCTGGCGAGAGTTCGCGTCCCACGCAGAACTGTAGACACTTTGGTTCAAGCCGGCTTGGCGCGCTTGCGCTTTCACGCAGGCGTGCCCGTAGTACCTGCGTGTGGCAGTCATGCCGCCCAAAATTGCCATGGGCGCGCTGCCACCCCCGTGTTTGGCGATGAAGAACGCAATGATTCAGATGGTTGGCGGAGTCGTCGTGGAGAGCTCTCGCAGATGCGCAAGCGGAGTTGCGCTGTCCGCATTTTCTGCGCACCGCCGCCAGCTTCACAATTGGTGGCCCGATACGCTCCACGCGAAGTACTCCGACATGGACGACCGCGGCAAGAGGCAGTGCCTGGCGGCGTTCCCGCGGAACCCTGCGTCGGGCGGCTTCGCCTCGGAGGCTCTGTCGGATCAGCCGGAGGAGAAGGAGGGCGACGACGGCGGGTCGCCGGCAAAGGTCCGGAGAGTGCGCGAGGCCAGCAGCGCGGGCGCTGATCTAGAGTCTTCTCCCTCCGCAGCGCATGCCGCGCCTACGAAGGCTACGCCAGCGAAGGCCGCGCCGACGAGGGCTCCGCCCATGCAGACTTGCACTCCCCAGCGGTCTCCGGCTGTCTTGCTGGCAACCTCTGTTCGTTCCACTGGCACCCCTCGCATTCAGCTTTCTCCTATGCCCGCGGAGGAGGACGATCGTTGGTCGCAAGGACCACGGTCACAAAGCCTACGAGAGTCGGTCGTGGTGACCTGTCTGCGCGCCCAGGCGGATGAGAAAGCTGTCGGATGGTACAAGTCGTTTGCAGAGAAACGAGCGGATGATCCACAGCACCGGCCGTCCAAAAGGGGTGCCGATGCGAACTTGTGGAAAGCCCTCAACAGGTATTCTAACGGCGCCCAGAACTACGAGATGGATGTGCCAACCCTTCGTCTGCTCGCATTGCAGCCCGACATGCTCGGCGGAGCTAGCGCCAAGTTCTACGGGGAGGTGAGCGACGCAGCCCCCCGGCGATGGACGTTTCGAGCTACGGCGGAGACCCATGGCAGAGCGGCTGGAGGCGGTGAAGTTTCTCTACGCAGCTGACCAGGAGGACCCGCGCCCCGACCCGGTCAGGGCCAAGCGAATCACACAAGTGCTCGCTGCTTGGACGGACTTCAGACGCATGAGCCTCGCCCACGCGGGTTCGTTCTCGTTCGCAAAGGAGAGGCTATTCGATTTCTTTGCTGGCGTCACAGACGACTTGTCGAACCTCCACCTGGCGCCCGCGCGCGTGCCCAACTTCGGGAATACGTGTCGCCTCAGCGCCGCGGCGCAGGCCCTGATCCACTGCAGGCCTTGGAGACGCCGGGATGTTTAAATCCAAACGAGCGCGTCGTTCCGCGCGGTTGCTCCGGCGCTGCGAGTCCCATGACACATCGCATTGCGTTTTGAAAAGCGGCCCTGGGCTACCGCTGAGCTCCCAATTCAGTGCCCGGTTACGATGGCGAGCGACTCCAGTCGTTGGGTACGATATGATGTGGAAAACCCGCCCCCCCCCCCCCCCCCTCCCCCCCCCCTGTGCACTGCGTTCATGGGACTTGGTCGCGTCGAGAGCACGGCGCGTCTGCGTCTGCCAGGCTGGAGATTCGTAGCCGCGGCGAGGCCGACCTGATGCCGCTCGGCCAGTGCCTGAGGCGCTACGTTCTCTCGTATGCCTGGGCCTCAGACGAGCTCTGATCTCGATCCTCTCTGGCCCAGTTCCAAGGATTCTTACGCGCGAGAGGTCCGGCGTGCGCCTGGAGATTTTCCATCGAAAGGCTTCGCCAATCGCAATGCCCAGAAGTTTTCCGTCAAAGGGCGAGTCAGGCAATTTGCACCTTTGCACACCTCGCAAGGAGCTCTTGCTGGCCTCAGAGCTCAGTTGCCTCGCAAGGAGCTCTTGCTATTGTGATCAGTAGTGTGATCAGTAGTGCGCGTGTGGAAACATTCGCGACGAGGGTTTAGAACGCAGGATTGCGCATATATGATAAGTAAAAGCAAGCGCATATTAAGTACATTAAGTAGGTGGGGTTTCTCGGTAGCGTAATTTTGTTCGTCCAACATCCGCCTGTAGGAGGACATGCTCGACCTAACCAAAGTGGGCCCTGGAAACGACAGGGCCGTTCGTTTGTTACCGTTTCCGTTTTTTTTCGCTGACGGTTCCGACGATGTGTCTTACCGGTTCCGTCGCCGTTTCTGTTACCGCTTCCGGTTCCAGTTCCAATCTCGGAGCAGTGTTTTGTCGTTTCCGGTCACCGTTTTTGTTGCCGCTTCCATTTTCAAAAAAAAAAAAAAAAAAAAAAAAACCTATCTCGGAAACGATGAAAACGGCCTTGCCGTTTCCAGGGCCCACTATGTTTTGGCCGTCTTGAGCTAACGAAAGCCTTCAGCGAAAATCCGTTTAAACATCGATGGACATTGTAAGAGGCTGGCTTCTTCAGACCCTTGGCAGGGTCATTTTGGAAGCCTTTTTTGAGCAGTCTTCAAGGCCTTGTGGGCCGTTTTGAGGCCACTGTGGGCCCTGAGGCTAAGAGGGCCGTCCTGGAACCATCTTGGGTTGTCTTGGAGGCGTCTTGGCCTTAGGGGCGCAAACTTATCTGATGTTGAAAAAGAGTTGTGGCCTCGGAAATGCGCACTTGTCGTATTTTGCGATGGCTTTTGGCACCGGAAGAGGGGGCGATGCATGCAGGCCAGCGCTAGTAGAGAGTGGGGGCCTAGAAGGTGACAGAAACGAGCGAGAAGCCCAGCGCGAGGAGGAGGCCCGGGGATTCGTAGGGGATCCCCACGGAATCCTATGATATCTTGTGACGTCGGTCGTACAACAGAAAAACGAGTACTGCGGCACAGCCACACCAGTTGAGGGTGGGTTTCTCTTAACGGCTTAGGCGACCCGTCCTCCTCCTCTCTCCTTTTCCTCCTCCTCCTCCTCCTCCTCCTCTTCCCCCTCCTCCTCCTCCTCCTCCTTCTCCTCCTCCTTCCCCTCCTCCTCCTCCTCCTCCTCCTCCTCCTCCTCCTCCTCATCATCCTCCTCCTCATCCTCCTCCCCCTCGCCCTCTTCCACTGCTCCTCCACCTCCTCCCCCTCCTCCTCTCCTCCTCCTCCTCCTCCTCCTCCTCCTCCTCCTCCTCGGGTCGCCTACGGCCCTGGGGGAAACCGTGCACTTGAGGGCGGAGTATTTTCAAAAGCGGATGCGGTCGAGATTCTCGTCGATGGGCCTATCCGCCTCAGGAGTACCGGAACCTGAAGTGTTGCCACCAGCAGCGCAACATGGACGGCTTCCTGCGCGGCTTCGATGCCATCAACGGCGTTGTCAGCGGCGACGTGTACTTCGCAACCTGCTGCAGCTCATGCCCGCTGGGCTCGGAGAACGTGGATTGCGACGTGACCGCCGTAACCAGCGGCGACGGCGAGTGCCAGTTCTGCCCCACGGGCAAGTACAACGACATCGTCACAATAGGCGGGCGCCCGGGCACATCCCCCGACGCCCCCTGCGGGCTCCTCTTTGACATGGGAGGGAAAACGCACAAGAAGCGAGCCATGATCGTTCGCGCTTTCGCATTTGCGGGCCCTCTGGGAGGCCCTCGTGGCCACGGCTGAGCGCAGCCCTCTGGGAGGCCCTTTGGGAGGCCCTCGTGGCCTCGAACAACCGGCCAGGATGGACCGCGCGAGAGGATCGAGGGCTCCCACCACGAGGGCGCGAAGTGCTTCGCGCTGCGCGGTCCACATTCCTTTTCCCCTTCCTCCTCGTCCTCCTTTTCTCCCTGTGGGGTGGCGGCGCGAGAGCGCGAAGTCATTCGCGCTTCGCGCTTAAGTTGGGAGCCCTAGTGGATCCTCGAGCAGGGAGAAGCACGCACGAGATCGCCGGCTGCACGTGGAGTGGAGGCCCGAGCGACGGCAAGCTCGGGGTGGCGCCGAGGGCCTGCGCCATGGGGTCGGGCACTTGCGTGCGAGGCCAGGACGAGGACAAATCCGTTCCAGAGCGTTCCGGAGCGCTCTCAGAGCGTTCCGGAACGCTCTGAGAAGTCCGCGGGGCCCGAGACATCCTCAGAGCCGACAGATCCTAGAGATTCTCGATTTTTGTTTCACCCGATGCTATCTTCGTCCTGGCTTCGTCTTGCATTTGTTGACCTGATCTCGCAAGCTCCCCGCCGCTTCAAGCGGTGTGCGTTCAGAGCAGGCGCGCAGCAAAGCCACAGGGAAGCGCGGCACTGGTGGTGAGGCTCCGCACACAGGTCAGAGGCTCCAGCGAGCAAGAAAAACAGCGGCGCCCCAGAACCGCGAGGCATTGACAGTGTCGCTCAGCGTCAGCACAGTGGCAGGAAACCTGCTCCAGGATTAACTCGGGCCTGTCCCTCTGCAGGGGGAAGATTCCAAAATTGTCAAAAATCGTCAGGGAACTATTTTTTAACTATGTTTGAGCATTTGTAGGGGGTATTATGTTGGGGTATCTTGAATTTTTCGCCCAAAATCCCCATGTAGCTCAGCGTCAACACAGGAGGAGGAGGAGGCGGAGGAGGAGGAGGAGGAGGAGGAGGAGGGAGGAGGAGGATGGAGGAGGAGGAGGAGGAGGAGAGGAGGAGGAGGGGAGGAGGAGGAGGAGGAGGAGGCAGGAGGAGGAGGAGGGAGGGGAGGGGAGGAGAGGGGAGAGGAGGAGGAGGAGGAGGAGGAGGAGGAGGAGGAGGAGGAGAGGAGGAGGAGAGGAGGAGAGGAGGAGATGGGAGGAGGAGAGGGGAGGAGGGAGGGAGAGAGGAGGGAGGGGAGGAGGGAGGAGGGGGGGAGAGGAGGAGGAGGGAGAGGGGGAGGAGGGGGGAAGGAGGAAGGCGGGAGCCCGCGCCAGAGGGTCGGGCAGGGGGTTTTCCCGCCGGCGGCTCCGCAAGGGAGCACGTGCAAGACCTGCCCGCCGTGCGAGCCGGGGGCGGCGCGGGAGTGCGGCGGGGCGGTGGAGGGGAGCTGCGTGGAGTGCGTGGCGGGCAGCACGTACAAGGATCAAGCAGTGGCGAAGAAAGCGTCCTCCTCCCCCTCCCTCCTCCTCGCCCCTCCTCGTCCCTCCTCCTCCTCCTCCTCTTCCTCCTCCTCCTCCTCTCCTCTCTCTCCTCCTCCTCCTCCTCCTCCTCCTCCTCCTCCTCATCGTCCTCCTCCTCCTCCTCTTCCTCCTCCTGCCGCTGCTGCTCCTCCTCACCCTTCTTCGGATGCAGCTCCTGGGAGGTCAAATTCTGAGTTAGCCCTGGTCCGAAATCCAGCTGAATGCGGCTCAATCCCGCTTCATCTCGCTTAGTTTGGTTCAATCTTGCGCAATCCCGCTTAATCCCGCTTGATCCGAGGACCAGTCTGGCGTAACAGCCCCCCCCAATGTGGCTTGCGTGGAGTGCGTGGCGGGCAGCACGTACAAGGATTCGGATGCAATTCCTGGGAGGTCAAGTGCTGAGTTGGCCCTGGTCCGAAATGCCGCTGAATGCGGCTGAAACCCGCTTCATCCCGCTTAGTCCGGCTTAGTCCCGCTTGATCCCGCTTAATCCGGCTTAATCCCGCTTGATCCGTGGAGTGCGTGGCGGGCAGCACGTACAAGGATCAAGCAGTGGCGAAGCGTCCTGGCTCGCCTACAGCCCTGCCAAGCAGTGTTCTGAGAACCTTTGGTGGTTTCCACGAGATGTTCTCAGAACAGTGCTGGCGGAGTCTGTCTTGATTTATCGTATCGGCTTAATGTTCTAAGAGCATCGTTTTTGTTCTTATAACAAGTTTACGGTTCTAAGAGCATGTCGTAGGACTGGGAATGCCAGGACGGTCGGCCCCTGCTCAAAAGGAGGCCGGGCTGGAGGGCAGCTGGAGCCAGGTGTTCCAGGCTTCTCAAACGGGGTCCGGCTGGACTGGGCTGGAGGATCGCGCCGCATCGGCGATGCATCGGTGATGCGGCTCGATGTGGAGCACGATTTTTGGCCACGCCGGCGGCGAGGATGCATCGCCGCCGTCGAGGATGCAGCGCCGCCGTCGAGGATGCATCGCCAGTGTATCTGCGATGCGGCGCGATGTGGCGCGACCGGGTCCCATTCTGGAGGCCTCCAGGTATGCGGTCCTTGCGAAGGCTGCCGGGCAGGCTACCAGCGCACCGGGTGCGGCCCCGTGAGCCAGGGCCGCTGCGAGCCGTGCCCGCAGGGCGAGTACTTCGCGTCGCCCAACTGCAGGGCGTGTAGCGCGTGCGTCAGCTTCGGCCGGATGGGCTGCGCCCTGCTTAGCGAGGGGATGTGCCCGCCGTGCGCTCACGGGAAGTGGGGCTCCAGCGCGCAGTCGTGCCAGGCCCCCGCAGGGAGCATCTTTGCAGCGTCGCCGCTCCTCCTCCTCCTCCTCCTCCTCCTCCTCCTCCTGCTCCTCCTCCTCCTCCTCCTCCTCCTCCTCCTCCTCCTCCTCCTCCTCCTCCTCCTCCTCCGCCTCCGCCTCCGCCTCCTCCTCCTCCTTCTCCTCCTCCTAGTTCTCCTCCGCCTCCTCCTCCTCTTCCGCCTCCGCCTCCTCCTCCTCCTCTTCCTCCTCCTCTTCCGCCGTGCCTGGCCAGGGCCATGCTGGTCCCTCGAATGGTGCACAGATCCTCGCTGCCTTGGTCATGCGGGCATGCAGGTCGCGCACGCAGTGCCGGCGCTCAGCATGGCCCTGGCCAGGGATGGTGGTGGTGGTGGTGGTGTCGCAGTGCGTTCTGCGCAAGGTCTGCCAGACGTGCGGCGGCGAGCCGGTGACCGACGTGGCCGTCAACGGCCTGACACTCTCTGGTCCGATGCAGCGCGCCGGCTGCGGCGGCGGGGCGGGCGGCGAGTGCGTGCGCCTGGCGGCCGCGCTGGGCGACTGGGAAGCGGGGGCGCTGTGCCCCACCGCCAGCTGGAACCAGACCGTGTGCCAGGGCGTGCGCCCGCGCTTGCGTTGGGTCCTGCAGGGACTGGCCGCGGAGCAGCTGGGGGTGGCTGGCGGAAACTGCACGGCCGAGGCGGGCCTGTGCCTGACCGGGCTGTGGAGTGTCTCGCTGCAGCGGAGAACGGCGTTGGCCCCGTCGGGAGAGACCGCGCGGGAGCTGCAGGAGCCCAGCACCGCCTGACAGATCTCCACCCCCACCGGGCCATGGTTTCTCAGCCCCACCAGCCCGCCCCCCCAGGTGGGGATAGGCTCTGCGCAACCCGAAGGGAACAGCATCATATATCCCACCTGAGTGGGAGTCGGCCAGTGGGGGCCAATGCCACGCCAGTGGGGATGGGGATCGGCCAAGCGATGCTCGAGGAGTGGTGGGCCCCAGACCTGGAGCCCGACGACGCCGGCGCGGGCCTCCTCGCCTTCGAGGAGGTGCTGCCGGCCCTGGAGGCGGGCCTGCCCGCGGGGGGCGGCTACTTCCTCCGCCTCGACCTCGTCGACCGCGGGGGCAGCTGGTCCGACGCGTCCCCGGTCTCCGCGGTCACCGCCGACTTCGCGCTGGCGGAGCCCGCGGCCGCCGTGGAGGCGGCCCTGGGGGAGGCGGCCGCCGCCATGGCCCTCGGCGACCGCGGGGCCGCGGTGGAGGCTGCCGCGGTGGGCTGCTCGGCCGGGTCGCCGTGGCCCGCGGAGGTCACGCATTGGGGAGACGTAAGACTCGGGTACGGGGGACTCGGGTTGGCCTGGCGAGGCCGTCAAGAAAATGACGAGACTCAATCTGAAATTTGACGTGAGCTCCCGCTGCAAACATCCCACGAAAACTGGACCGTTAAAATGCAGGACGCGCTCGTCAAACAGCGTCGGCAAACCCGAGCTCTGGCGCACTCGAGTCTTACGTTCCCCCGAGTCGGGGGAGCGTAAGACTCGAGTAAGCCGGGACTCGGGTTTGCCGAAGCTGTTTGACGAGCGCGTCCTGGAGTTTGACGGTCCCGTTTTCGCGGGGTGTTTGCAGCGGGAGGTCGCGTCAAATTTCAGATCGGGTCTCGTCGTTTTCAGGATGGCCCCGTCAGGCCAACTCGCGTCACCCGTACGCGAGTCGCACGTCTCCCGTATACACAGGGGCACCTGCACTGCCATGCGCCGCCTGCCCTGCCCGGCCAGGGCCGGCCCGGGGCCCACAGCGTGTGCACGCCCTCCGGGCCGAGCCAAGAAGTGCCCGTTCGGCCACGCGCAGGGGGGGGGAGGGGGGGGGAGGGCTTCTTAGAAGCACCCCTGCTTCTCAGAAGGCGCGGGCCTTCTCTATAGATTTCAGGCGATTGCCTTCCCAGAAGCAGCCTCCTTCTAAGAAGCCCTCCCCCCTCCCTCTGCCCCCTTGTGCGCACCGCCAACTGTAGCGGAAGGGCAACGGAGTGCACGCAAGCTTTCGGAGCTCCGCGCGGAATTTTCTTGCATCGCCGTTGGACCCCGCTCCCTGGCTTTAAGTCGGGCGCGTCCCTCGACGTCCCCCCACGTTAGTCAAAAATAGTATGGGACCGATTTGTCTTTAGTTTTTGTTGATCATGTTTGAATATGTTTTACTATGTTCATTTGTCGTCCATAATCCGCTTGCAGGGAGACATGCCCGGCCTAACCCTGGCTCGCAGAGCGCGCCAGCGGCGGCGCCGGAGGCGCCGCCAGGGGGCGGCAACCCCCGGGACATCCGCGCGGAGCTCCGAGAGCGTATGTGTATGTCGTGTTTCTTTCGACGCTGGAACGGGGGCCACTTTGGGATCAGGAGGGGCCCTGGTTTTCGGGGTGCGCCTTGGGAGGAGGTCTTAGAACCTACTCGTGGCCGAGGCTCGCCGTGGCCACAAAAGCCCCTTCGTTCCTTCTTCGAAGCTCCCTATGGCAGCACGCCGACTGTATGCGTGTGCCTACAGGGCCGGCCCGCGCGCGCTTCGGCCGTCTCGCTTGACTTGCTCCACCTCGTCGCGGCGCGCGCCTCGTCCGCCCAACGATGTGCACACGCCTGTAGTTGAAAGTAGGCACTGTGGGAGTCCCAGATCCCAATATACTTCAAACGCCTTCCAACTTCAATAATCGATATGCTTCTGCTGTGCTTTGTTCTTTCCTGGGAGCTCCCGGACCCGACACTAAAGACCCTTAGAGGTTACTTGGCTTGCTCCGCCTCGTCGCTGCCCGCGCCGCGACCGCCACACATGCGTACGCCGTGTTATTGTTATAGTAGTTCGTATTGTTAGTCCTATCATTGGTGCTCCTATCTGCATCGTTCGTAGTCTGCTGCCTGGCACTACCATTAGTATGGTGTCTCTTGGTGTTGTGAGCACTCGTCTTGACTTATCTTGCCATTCTCACTACCTCTACTACTTCTTAGTCTTCTCGCTGCTACGTGTGACTCTTCCTCGCCCGGGGCCCAGGCAGGCCCTGGCCAGGCGCGGCGGAGCAGAGCAGCAGCGCCCCCGCCCTGCGGCGTACAGGTGGCGTGCGAGCGCGAGCGGGCGCTGCGCCTTGGCCTCGCCGTCGGGCAGGAGGCGGTCGTGCCGGCCACCCTGCCGACGTGGGCGGCGACCCCCCAGGCGGCCGCCCAGGATTGGCTCCTCCTCCTCCTCCTGCTCCTGCTCCTCCTCCTCCTCCTCCTCCTCCTGCTCCTCCTGCTCCTGCTCCTCCTCCTGCTCCTGCTCCTCCTCATCCTCCTCCTCCTCCTCCTCCTCCTCCTCCTCCTCCTCCTCCTCGTCCTCCTCCTCCTCCTCCTCCTCCTGCTCCTCCTCCTCCTGCTCCTCCTCCTCCTCCAGATCGGCCCCCCAGGCGGCCGCCCAGGACCGGCACCAGCGGGCTCGAGAACTCGAGAGCTCCAGGGGTGCGCGTGCGCAGTCCTGCTGCTGCTGCTGCTCTCTTGCTCCTCCTCGCTCCGCCCCAACTTCTTTCTTCTTCTTCTTCTTCTTCTTCTTCTTCCTCCGCCTCCTTCTCCATCTCCTCCTCCTCCATCTCCTCCTCCTCCTCCTCCTCCGCCTCCTCCTCCTCCTCCACCACCTCCTCCTCCTCCGGATCGGGCCCCCAGGTCGCCGCCCAGGACCGGCGCGATCGACAAGTCGGCCCCGGGTCGCCCGCCAGGATCGGGCCCAGGATCGGGCCCCCCCCTGGGTCGCCGCCCAGGATCGGCACGAAAGCCCCGCCGCCTTGCGAAAACTCCCTCTCCTTCTCGCCTCCCCCCCTCGCTCGCCGCAGGCTCGCCCCCTTCCTCGACGTCTGTTCCCCCCTCCCGTCGGAGCCCGCCTGGCTCGCCGCCTCTTCGGGTCGCTGCCCGGGGCCCGTACGATCGAGACAGGTATGCGGAAAGAGCCGGCACGAAGACCGACAGCAGTTCCTGTCCATTCTGAACTGGGCTCGCTGGCGTTGTCGCCGCGGACGCTGCCCGTTCGAGACAGAGGGCCGCCTGCCCAACGGCGGCCGCCGTCGGTCTTGGAGAAGATCTGCTGCCTGGCGTCGTGCCATTTTTTCGTCCGTGCCCACTTCGGGCGTCCCACAGGAGGCCCGCGTGCCGATGTCGCAGGCCCGGGCGGCCCTGAAGGAGCCCCGGGAGGCTGCAGAAGCGCGGGCGCGCAGACCGTCGTGGGGCGATCGTAGGGGAACGAACAATCACATAAACATGAGAACTCGGAGGTCCGCGCGGATTTCTCGGATCGGCGCTGGGGACCCCCTGCGGCGCCTCCGGCGCCGCCCCTGGCGCGCTCCGCGCGCCAAGGAGGGGGGTCCAACGCCGATCCGAGAAATCTGCGCGGATCTCCGAGTTTTCATGTCCATGTCAGTGTTCGTTCCCCTAGATTTGAGTCGGGCATGTCCCTCTACAAGAGGAATATCAAAAAATCGTCCAAAAATACTGGGGACTCTTTTTGATACCATTATTGAGTATTGTTAGGGGCACTTGTTTGGTAGATGGTTTATGCTTCGCCCCAAATGCCCCTGTGGGGGGACAGGCCCGGCCTAACCCTAGATCGGGGTGCGAGGCTGAGGGTGTCGAGCTGGAGCGCTCCAAGAGCCTCCTCCTCCTCCTCCTCCTCCTCCTCCTCCTCCTCCTCCTCGGCCTTCGGCGCGTCTCTCGCCTTCAGGGTGGAGCTATGGGCCAGCGGAAGGCCCGGGCGGCCGGCGCAGGCGCGGAAGCACTCTAAGGCGGGGCTTGCCTTGAGTCCGGCGTGCCCCCTCTGCAGGAGGACGATTCCAAAGTAGGCAAAAAATAGTCAGGGGACGATGTTCCTATTTTTTGTTGTAATATATTATGTTTGTATTTTTCTGTCGGGGTGTTTTGCATTTTGCCCCGAAGATCCGCCTGTACGGGGACATGCCCGACCTAGCGCTGGTTCTGGCGGCGGAGGGCGGCGGAAGTAAACATCCTGCCGGCGGCACACGCGCACAGGAAGTCCACGCTCGCTTCGAGAGTGCGCACTGCGCGAGCGTTCGCAGCACGAGGCTGTGCTGGCGGATCGGGGTGCCGGGTTCGCGTACTACGTTGTTGGGCGTGTACGCCTTTTGGGGGGGGAGTTCCCTCGAAGGTGGGAGGTTCACACCTGTGGGGTCAAGGTTTGCGAACGCGGCGGAGTGGTTGCACGTGTTGGTTGAAGTCCTCTTTGGGGCTCCGGGGTTCTAGTCGTAGCCACTGCGGGTTTAAAGACTTGTCCTGGGGGGGCGATGTGTGTTGTCGGCACGCGGGCCATCGGTTTAGGAGAAGGGGGCCCTGAGTTCCTCGCCGCTCTCGGACTCCCACGGCCCTTCACGGCCCTGGGGCCGTCAAACAAGTAGCTCGAGGCGAAACGTTAGCCAGCGTGGACCCCAAACAGTGTGTTTCTGGTAGTCGATGTTGTGCATCACGTGTTGTGCGAGAGATGTGGTGCAACGTATGTAATGCAAGCTACGGGCTACACCTTTGATTGTTTCCCACATATATTTGCAACATCAGTATTTATGTGGTGCATCGTCTGTGGTGCAATGAAGGGTGCTATAGATGCGGCGCAATACGTGTTGTCCAGCGTGTGCTGTGAAGTACGTGTTGCGCAATATCTATCTGTGGCGCAGTGGTGCCATGAGAGTTGAGGCAGTCTGTGTCGTGCTCTACAGGTGGAGCAACCTCTGTGGCGCCACAAGCAATGCGAAGCCACTTCACGCGCGGCCTCTGCAGCGCCCGGGGGCGCGAAGAGGCAGTATTCCATCCACGACGTGTCACGTGGCAGCGCCGCGGGGGCCGGGAGAGAGACGACCGATTCCCTTTCGATTCACCACGTGGCAACGGCGTGGGGGGCCAACAGCGAAGAGTATGCAACTCCGCTCGCCACGTGGCAGCGCCTGGAGAGGCTGAAAGAAAACGTGTTCCGTTCTAGTCGTCACGTGTCCGCGCCAGGGGGGGGCGAAGAACAACATGCCACGACGACGGCGAGGACGACGACGAGAACGACGACGACGATGACGACGACGAAGACGATAATGATCATGAGGGCCAGGGGGGAGAACAGCAACTCTGTCCAATCCTTGTCCTTTTTCCTCTCCGCGGCCGTCTCCCTCCTCCCTCCTTCTTCCTCCCTTTCTTCCCGTTCCTCCCTCCTTCCCTCCCCCTCCTTCCCCCGCCTTCTCTCCTCACTACTTGTCCTTCCTCCCCTCCTCTCTACCTTCCTCCCTTCTCCTCCCTCCTGTCCTCCCCCTCGGCAACGCAACGCAATGCAATGGAATGCAACGCGTCACGTGGCAGCGCCGTGGGGGCCGAACACAAGCACGAACACAATGCGCCTGGCGACGAACCCAACCATATGTCGTTGTGGGTGCCGCGGTTGTGAGCATCGTCTTCGGTGGAGCGCCCTATGGGGCCACGAACCGTGTGAGGGGTGTGCCGAAATGGTCATGCGGTCGGCAGGGAGGGCGGATGCGGACACGGCCGTTGGGGCCTTCGGTGGAGCGCGCTATGGTGCCATGAAGCGTGTGAGGGGTGTGCCGAACTGGGCGTGCGGTGGGCGGGGAGGGCGCATGCGGACGCGGCCGTTGGGGCCTTCGGTGGAGCGCCCTATGGGGCCACGAACTGTGTGAGGGGTGTGCCAGGTGCCAGAATGGACATGCGGTGGGCGGGGAGGGCGCATGCGTACACGGCCACTGGGGCCTTCGGTGGAGCTCCTTATTGGGCCACGGCCTGTGTGAGTGGTGTGCCGAAATGGGCGTGCGGTGGGCGGGGAGCCGCACGTGGACCCTGTCATTGGGACCTTCGGTTGGCCTCCATATGGGGCCACGAGCCGTGTGAGGATGTGCCGAAATGGGCGTGCGGTGGGCGGGGAGGGCGCATGCGGACGCGGCCACTGGGGCCTTCGGCGGAGCTCCTTTCATGATGGGGCCATGAACTGTGTGACGGGTGTGCCGAAATGGTCATGCGGTGGGCGGGGAGGGCGCACGCGGACGCGGCCATTGGGGCATTCGGTGGAGCTCCATGTGGGGTCACGAACTGTGTGAGGGGTGTGCCGAACTGGGCATGCGGTGGGCGGTGAGGGCGCATGTGGACGCGGCCATTGCTGCCGTCGCTGGAGCTCCCTATGGGGCCACGAAGCGTATGAGGGATGTGCCGACATGGGCATGCGGTGAGCGAGGACGGCGCATGCGGACGCGGCCATTCTGGCTTTCGGTGGAGCTCCTTGTGGGGCCACGAACCGTGTGAAGGGTGTGCCAGAATGGGCATGCGGTGGGCGGGGAGGGCGCACGCGGACGCGTCCATTGGGGCTTTCGGTGGAGCGCCCTATGGGGCCACGAACTGTGTGAGGGGTGTGGTGAACAGAGACATGCGGGGGGGGAGGGGGAGGAGGAGGAGGAGGAGGAGGAGGAGGAGGAGGAGGAGGAGGGCGGACGCGTCCATTGGGGCTTTCGGTGGAGCTCCATATGGGGCCACGAAACTGTGTGAGGGGTGTGGTGGAACAGAGACATGCGGAGGGGGGAGGGGGAGGAGGAGGAGGAGGAGGAGGAGGAGGAGGAGATAGGAGGAGGAGGAGGAGGAGGAGGAGGAGAAGAGAGGGAGAGGAGAGGAGAGGAGAGGAGAGGAGAGGAGAGGAGAGGAGAGAAGACGAGAGGAGGGAGGAACGCGTGGCGCTGTCTCTCCAAAGCGAGGACCCAACACCGCAGGATGGTTGGGAACAAACACGATCATCCTCCTCGTCCTTCTCCCTCCCTCCTCCTCCCGCTCCCTTCCTTCTCCATCCCCCTCCCTTCCTCCCCCCTCCCACCACCTCACTGCAATGCTATGTACTACTCCTCTTCCCTCTTCCCCCGCCTTCCTCCCCCTCTCACTCCCCTCCTCCCCCTCGCCCTGCAATGCACTACAATAAACTGTACCGCACATGCAAGACCATACCATGCCATGCCATGCAACGCAACGCAACGCAACGCAACGCAACGCAGTGCGACGCGACGCAGCGCAACGCAATGCAACGCGCCCGCCCGCACGTCTGCACGCCCGCCCGCCCGCCCGCTCTGCCCCTCCGCGCGCGCCTCCCATCCGTGCCGTTCCATTCTGCGCCATGCCACTCCGTCCACCCCTCCCGTTTCATGCCGTCCATACCATTCCATGTTGGGGGCGGAAAAGAGGGGGGTGATGACTAGGGGGGTGTGGATATCATGGCGGGGGCCATGATTGTTCCTCAGATGTCATGGCGCCTCTTCTTATTTCATTACGTCCCTGGCCCCCCTGCTGGCCGCGCACATGCCGCCGGTCATGATTTGCACCCCCCCTCTTGGACACCCCCCTCTTGGCCGCTCCCGACCATGATGTCACGCTCCTCCCTACCCCCGTACCGTAGTCAGTCTATGTCAGCAAACGCTGTTCTGGGCCCAGCGGTGCAGGACACCCTCTAACACATGTGTCGGGAAGGGCTGGTTGGTTGGCTGGTTGGCTGGCTGGTTGGCTCCCTGGTTGCCGGGTGAGCTGGAGTCCAGAGGCTAAGTGTGGCACACCCCTCACCCGGGGGCCAGACTTATTTTTCGTTACGGGAATTTGTGTTGACCCGTTTTGTAAACCATGACCGGCGATACATGTTGTTTGTTCCGCGACATTCGTCCAGCTGGTGATGCGTTGCGACAGTGCTTCGGGGTCGGTGCTTCGGTCTGGGCGGTACAGCGCTGCATAGTGCAGCGTCGGCCTTCGCTCCTCTCGACGGGGGTTGCGGATCTGCCTCGCGATCTCTTTTCGCTTGGGTCGTGACGCGAACGGCACGCGCGCGGGCTACATGTTCGCAACATGTTCGCAACATCGCACGCGCGCGATGCTGCGGATGAGCAAGCATGTACGCAACCGCCACTGCGCACACATCTGGTGGACATCCTCCTGCGGGGCAGGTCCGCGAGCGCGGGACGTCCAGCGAGACAGGTGCACTCTCTGTCGAGCACGCGCCCGCATACCTTTTGGAATCCAGATACATATATATATATATATATATATAGATCGTTATATATATACAAGTATATAGATGTTTAATCATGCATGTATACAATATGATCATATATATATATATAGGTCTACATATATATATATATATATATATATATATAAGATTTATAGAGATTACATATGCACTCGCGCGGCTCCCGGCGCACTGGCCGCCCTCGCGAGGACCACCTGGACCGAGAGGCGGGCATCCTGGACCTCGCGGGGCAGGGAATCCCCACACACGCGCCCACACCACCCGCGGCCTCGCGGGGGCCAGGGCCCCGCGGCCGCGGCCCCCGCGCATGCGGATGCCGGGCGGCCCCGCGGGGAAGCCCCGCGAAGGGGCGCGCCCGCGGCATCGTGCCGCCGTGGGGCCGCGCCCCGGGGCCCAGACCCCGACGGCACGCGGCACGGAGCCTCAAAATGCGCGGCCCGGGAAGCGCCGACGTCGCCTCTCGGCCGGGTGCAGCATTCCGCCCTGGGGTCCAGGCGTTGCGTACTGGGGCTTGGGGGGAGGAGGAGGAGGAGGAGGAGGAGGAGGA